AGAGAAATATTAAATTCTTAGAAGGCAGATAGCTCACTATTTTCTGTTCAATACTGACTTTATAGATAAAACAAATATGTTCAAATACATTTTATTGCAAAAGGTAAATAAACTATATATCCTATACTGTAATTTTTGGAGTGTCTATTAAATAAAAATATTTAAATGAATGACAAATTTAAATTATTTAACACATTGTACTCTTTATTAGTTTCACATTGGCCTGACCCTAGTTAATTTAGCAAAAATATTTCCATTGCCAAATTTATTTTGACAACCATAATAGTTTTTATTTCATTCATTTACATAATATACATTTATTAGCCATTAATTCTCTAGTAGACACTGATATATACTAGGTATACAGCAGTGAAAAGTAGACTAATTTCTTTTAAAGTTTATAGGCCACCATAAATACAATAATTAAAAGTGTTACATACTACAATAGATAAATGCAAGAGTTTTATGGAACCAAACAAACAAAATCCAAAATCTTCCCCAGGTGCAGTGGCTCATGCTTGTAATCCCACCAGTTTGGGAGGTTGAGGCAGGTGGATCACTTGAGGCCAGGAGTTGAAGTCCAGCCTGGGCAACATGGCAAAATGCCATCTTTACAAAATACAAAAAAATTAGCTGGATATGGTGGTGCCCACCTGTAATCCCAGCTACTCAGGAGGCAGAGACAAAAGAATCGCTTGAACCCAGGAGATGGAGGTTGCGGTGAGCTGAGACACACACTGCATTCCAGCTGGGAAAATCTTTTTTGGAAAGATAGAACAATCAGAGGTAAAGGAAAAATAATTCTCCAGGCAGAGGTAATGTCTTGTGCGAAGAAATACCAATGCATTATGGCATGGTAGATTGAGAGAAGTGAAAATTGTTAAATTGGAGATGGGATGACAATGGAGTGTGTGGAAGATGAAACTGGAGAGACGGAATCAAGTTTTGACTAGCTCTGCATGTGATAAGGAGTCTATTATATTCCTTTCTCTAAACTATAGGCAGATTTAGCTTCATTTGAGTGGTAGTCTGAAAAGGAAACAGTGGGTGATGGGTTGAGAGATAAAGAACGAAAAAATGAAGAGTTTCTTTAGGATAATATCCAATTAAAAGTAATATTGGCTGATACACCTATTGCTCTTTAAAATACTCTAGGATTCCCAGGAAACAGTGTCTATTGTTGATGGCTCATTCTAATATTTTTCTATAGTAGATACATAATGTATAGTGGCTCTGAGTATAAACATGTACACATGTACATGTAGCTGTGTTTTTAATAAACTTTATTTTATAGTAGTTTAGTATTTTCAGAAGTGCTGCAATAAAAACAACTCTCCTAAAAGTGTCATCCTATATCCTTCACTTGGTTTCCCCTATTGCTAACACATCGTTATGCTGCATTTGCCACAACTAAGAAACCCACAGGTACGTTAGTATTAACTGAATTCCACACTTTATTTAGATTTTACTAGTTGGGATTTCGTATATTTAATCTCTAATGTTTTTTTTCTGTTTTAGAGTTCCATCCAGATGCAGTATTTTTTCATGCACTTCAGTGGCTTTGCTTTGAATATAAAATTTCAGTATTCAAGTACTTTATGTATAATGTCAGCTAAAATGAAGTTATAATCCTGACACTGTTATATTTTATATGACATCCATGAATTTAAACACATTTTATTATTATTATTTTATTATTAGCAAATTGGATAGAGTATTATTCTTAAGGCATTATAGTAAGATGTACAATCAAAGATTGAAGTGGCATGCAAAAGCATATATTGCAGTGTATATGCAATAAAGAAGTCTCACTTAAAATGACACTCTATCAATAGCCCTCCCTTTTGGTGAGTAATATTAAGCTTAAAATTGGCTTAAAATGCAAATAATATGGTTAGAAATTCTAGAAAGTTGAATTCTTATGTGTAACATCTTCAAAAGTTCTGCTGCTTTAATTTTCTTAGTAATATGGAAGAAATATACTTAATTTCATATTTCAATGTGAAATGAGCTTAATTTCACATTTTATTTCACAAATCAATTTTCTTTTCAAAGATGTGGCCCATTTATTATTTGTTCTAAAATACATTGTTATCTTGGTACCTGCCAAATTATAGGCCTCATGTAACAACGTTTGTGAGGAAAATCTTAACAAATGACTCAACAAAAACGAGGAGACCTGAAGTGTGCTTTATAATTTTGATGTCTAGAAAGTCCTCTTTCAAGCCTTTAACCATCACAGGCCCTTAAAACATCTCTCTTATCTTCCAAGGGACCTAGAAATGCTAGGTTAGAATCCAGGCTGACTTGCAATCCCTATATCTCATTTCCCACCATGCACGTTCCCGCATTCCCCCTCCAAAAATATTTAGCAGCTTGTCATGCATTCTCAATGTTCATTTCCTTATTCAGCACATTTCGTAACAACATGGCATGAGTTTGTAAAGACAAATTATTCTGGCAATAAAACAAGTGTGAGCCTCATTTTACATAGATTTTTGCTGCTTTGTTACTTTGTATGTATTGACTTAATAAAGAAAAGTACACAGAAGAAGTCAAGATAGAGATTACAATAAACTAGACTCAAAGCTCCAACCTGGCATTGTTCAATACCGATGTCGTGGGCTCCTTTTAGATTCATATTTATAGTTTTGAAAATAGATGACTTAAATATATCATCTCCAAGATTTCTTCTAGTTCTGAAGTCAATGATGCTCTGATAATTTTTCCCTTTGATAATTCCTCAGGTAATTAATGAACTGCATTGATTTCCCCAGAGCAACTTCAAATGCAGCTACTTCCTTTAATGGAGGCTTTCTCTCTGAAAATGCAACTACTGGAGATTTCAGTTGTCTTTAATAAAAGAAAAATATGTAAGTCAGAAGAGAGTAAAGATTTTGGAGACTGTAATTTTCATTAGCCATATATCCAGCCTATATTTTTGGCCTTTTGAAAAGCTGTATTAATGCAGCAATTTTTTAAGAAGGAGGAATGAACAGTACCCCTTTCCTCCATCACAGGCTCTGTTTTTCCCTTCATTAACTGCCCTGAAGCCTTAGTCCAATCTTGAACTATGCAGCTGTAAAACAGGCAGTGATTTTGTTTGTATTTAATCATCCAGAGTTCCAGCACAAGCTACAGGTTATGAATATATACATATTTCCTTTCCACGTGTATTGCTTAGAAGTGTTTCTTGAATTGAATAGTGCCTTCCCTACCCAAATTCACATGTTGAAATCTGAGTCCTGAAACTCTCTAAATGTGACCTTATTTAGAAACAGGGTTGTTGTAGAAAGTAATTAGTTAAGATGTGGTCATGCTGGAGTATGGTGATTCCCTAAACCAATATGCCTGGTATCCTCCTAAAAAGGAACTTTGGACAAAGAAACAGGAAGAATGCCATGTGGAAATAAGAATTATGTTGCCACAAGCCCAGAAAGAACCAGAACCTAAGAAAGAGAACCAGAAAAGATCTTTTCCTCATGCCTTTAGAGGAGCATTGCTCTGGCAATACCTTGATTTTGACTTGACTTGTAGCCTCCAGAACTGTGAGATAATAAATTTCTGTTTTTCTAAGCTACCCAGTTAGTAATATCTTCTTATTGCAGCTCTAGAAAAATAATACAAGCATCATCACAGGTCTATAGTATGGGAGTTTGGGGTTGAATTTCTGTTAAGATCCATTCCAGGAAATGTATTAGTGCCATCCCTGGCTTATAGATTTGTTTTGCCTATGCTGCTGTTTGGGTTAGCACACATGTCAGTGTATTTTTCTATGACGTATAATACATCTGGTTTCAAGTACTTGGCTTTATCATTTACTAGCTGTGTAATTAACCTCACCGATCTTCAGTTCCCTGAGAATGATAATACTTGATCTAGAGAACCATAGGCTTATTTATGAGGATTAGGAGAGATAACAGAAGTGAAAAACAATATGGAGGCATGTAGAAGAGCATTAGAGTGCAGAGATTAAGATCAAGGGCCCTGGAACCAGGCTGCAGGAGTTCAAGTTCTACTTTTTCCTTTATTAGTTGTGTGACTGAACTATAGACTCAGCTCTACTATTTTAAAATAAGAGCTATAATAATTCCTGTGTATGAAGGCTGTTGTGAAGATGAAATAAGTCAATATATAAAGAGATTTTAGAAGAGCGGCACATAGAAAATACTCATTAAATGGTATCTAACAAAACTACCTTGCAAAGTATTTTGAACCATGCAAATGTTTGATCATTATAATTTATAGTTAAGAAATAGCTTATTGACTTTACACACCAATATTAAGTATGCATGATTACTGATTTTACACATCAGTTACTCTGACTTTCTAGCTCACTGTTCAACATACATTTCAGTATCATGTATTTTCATAATCAAGAAGAGCTAAGCAAGGATGATGACAAAAAAAGGGTTGTTATCAAGTAGATCAGGGTTTCCCCGTGAGTCAAAAGAACTCCACAAGTAGAGGCTATTTCTGGTATTCATTAATCTTGTCATTTCCTTGTGTGAGAATATTTTAGAGCCAAACATTTTTGGATCATGTTATTCATCTAATATGATAACAAAAAGCAAAGCATTCAAGTAGATTTTAGAGAATTAGTTTAAAAAAAAAACTTTTAAAAATTTTTACTGAAAACCTTGTTTACATATATTTGAATGGAGATACCTTATCTATACATCACCCTCCTGGGTTACAGTAAATTAAAAAATAGTCATTCTGCTTTCTCACATTGCCATATACTTTAAGTTGAGTTTCTGGATCAAATAAAATACTTCTATTGATAAACAGCATTTGCTTCATTTGTGTCTGGCCTCACAGAAGGAAAAGAAAGATTTTAGCTTCTGGCCTTACAGAGAAGAAAGAAGCATTTTAGTAAAACACCTTCTATTAGTGTGTGTGTGTGGTTTTTTTTTTTTTTTTTTTTTTTAGGAAATAGAAATAGCTGAGACTTGAAAACAAATTAGAGTACCATGTTTATTCCATTTCATACAACTTACCCAGGAAGTATATAACTGGAAGACAGACTGTCTCAGTGCTGTGGATAAGTTATAGTCTTCAGAACTATGATGTGTTTGGTGTCCGGCCCACATAATATTAACTTCTGCAAAACACATAATTTGCAATGAGCCATGAGAATAAGAACAAAGCAACTTCCATTTTCAGTTATGCATGCTGCTCTGTTGAGTGAGGAATAAAAATCTGGAACATCTCTGTAAAAGCTGGCCAATATAATTATAATTAAAATATGCTGCCTGAAATAATTTTTGGAACCAGAGACTGTATGCACTGTAAATAAATAAAATTGAAAGCATAGCCAATAAATACGTATAGTTTATATGTTATAATTAAATGCCTCCAACAAGCTGACATTAATTCCAAAATTTACACTTTGCTAACATATTATAATATGACAGATTATAAAAGCTAGCTGGTAATGTTGTGACAATACACTCAATGGATAGTGATGATTTTTCAGCATGTGATAACATGTTTCTAACTAAAGAAAAATGATCTGATGGGAGAAATTGGTATGGAAATTTTGGAATAAAATATTAATGAAATTGTTTCCTCATGGCTTTCTGAGAAGTCTCAAAATCTGTTGGAATAAGAAGCAAAGCATAGCATAGTAGTATTTTGCACTAAGGTCTCAGATATTCTTTTATTTACAAAAATATATTAGCTAACAGTTACCTATGGTTTTCCCATACCTTACCAAAATACTAAATCATTTCTAAATTTTCCCACATAGTTTTATTTGTGTTCATAAAAAAGAAAATGATTGTTGTTTATTTTCATCAAGCACTGTACAGATTGCTTTCATACTGTCTTGGAATTCATACAGACTCCAAAGAAGTGTGGCCTTTTAAAAAAATTTTTACAACCAATATGACACTGTGTTGATCCCCTAAGTAGCTGACACAGAATAGTACAAGTCATTTTTTTATTCTGCCCATATTTCTAAATTGTATTGCCATTTTTCATTTCCTAACAAAATCAGAGATCAAAATGTCACATTATACTCTATTCAGTTTTAAAAAATATGTTCTTAGCTAAAGGAATTTATGTTTAGTCTTTTGCTACAAATCCACGAAATGGAATTAGCTATGTGACCTGATCATCATATCCTTGCCAGTATAGATTAGAAATTAAATCTTTGAGGCTTGGATGTATAGGAACTAACCAGTGGATCTAGAACTGGAAATATCAAGTTAATTGTCTTTGCATTTGCCATATACTGACAGTTAAAATGCATAGTACATAGCAGAATAATTTTAGAATTTTTTATGAAAATTATAATCATATATATATATTCAATCTGGGTAAAGTTTGTCCATTTCTTTCAAAATGAAAGTTCTCTGAACAGTCTGTGTAGAGAATTACCAAACAAAATTGTTAAACAAAAAGTCTTGGTAAACAAATGATAGCTCATAGATATAAGAAGGACTTAATCCTGTATAATAAGGAATATTATAAATAGAATTATAGTTAATCTTATTATGAACAGATAACAAATGCCATTTTTATTAAAGTCATATATTTTTCAGTGGAACATGTATTGTCATCAACCATCAGCAGACATGTAACTTAGATCCCAATTGGTTGGGATCATTTGTAGGATTATTTTAATCATTTGTAGGAATGACATTGTATTTCTCTGCCAGCAATTAAGGAAATTGTTCTTACACAAAAGAGAACTACTTCACCATAATGACTTCTAAAAATATCCAGTCATAATCTTTGAAATAACATAGAACTAAATTATCTGGTTTATTGATAAGCCTAATGGCTGTACCTAAGAAATATACAAAGACCCTTGTGGCACTTTACATCTTCAGATGTGAAGTGGAAGTTGATTAAGAGGTAATAAATTTGATGAATCCCCTAAAGTTTGAAAACCGCTTACAGATAGAGATCTTGAAGTAATCTAAACACCATTTTCTCTTTAGAACATACTCACTGCTGAACATTTTATAACTTGTGACTTATAAACCTTCATTAAAAATCAATATATTGTCTAGTTTTTGACCTGTCAGGATTTGTTTTTAAAAAATTCATTCTAATGCAGCCACAAAATGAGTTAACAAGAGGATGAGCTAATCAGACGAGGTTCCATTAGAGAATTATAATATATATTGGGAGCCACTTCCTGGTACCCTCTACAGAAGCTAAACGGTGAAACAAAGAATCCACAAAGGTGGAGGTTAAAGATCTATCTCTTTAGTTGTTTCAAAAGCATTTACTTCCTATCACAAACTGTGTGTAACGCAAGCCTCATTCAATGAGGTACAGCTGTACAAACAGGGCACAGTAACAGGATCCTACTGCCTCACCTCATTTTCAGAATTGGTAAAAAAACAAGGAATACTGAATTTGTTTCATAGTCTATATTCAACTTATTGGAGGTAAATTATTGTTACAAAAGTAGTTATAAAAATGCATTTTGTGGAAAGTTATTCCAGCAGATCTTTTGTGAACAAAATGAGAAAAACTTAACAGTGCATTTATATGATCATCTTTCCTAATACTTGAATTGATGAATTATCTGTTTTAAGAAGTGAAAACAAATATTGAGGAGAAAAAGATATTATTGAGAATAAGCTTCTCTCTGTGAAAGACTTCATATAATTATACATTCTGTTCAATAATATTTTTCTTTTTCTGTAAGCAAATTATAGATAATATTAATACATGTATGTTATTATAATTTTTCAATGATATAATTAGAAATGATTATGCTGCTTTCTAGTGCCAAATGTAATTCTGTATATTTTATTATTATATTGGCCAACACTTCCATTCATTTGGTCAACATTTTATGTAGTGTGTGTGTGTGGTCTGTGTTGTATTTTTGAATTTCTTTTTCAATATTTTTATGAAGATGTAACTTACATACAACAAAATCCATCTTCTTTAAATGTTCGGTTCTATGAGTTTTTAACAAATGCAGTTGTTTAATGATTACTGCAATCTAGATACAGAACAATTTTACTACCCCAGGGAGTTCCCCCATCGCCTTTTTGTGGTTATGGTAGTCAGACTTCAAGATGGTTTCCTGTTTCAGATAATTCAAGTTCTGGACTTTGAACTGATAATGCAGTGGAATGAAACTTTTGGGAACAGGAAAGAAGTGAGCCTCTTTTGAATGTGGGAGAAATGTAAATCACTGAGGTCCAAAGGGCTAGCTAGGCAACGCAGCCTCTAGAATGGCCCCCAGTGATTCCTGTCCAACGGTGTTCATGCCTTTTATAATCTCCTATCTTTGAGTGTGAGCTAGATTTAGTGACTTTCTTCTAGTAAACAGAAATGTAGCAAAGATGATGGCATGTCACTTCTGATACCAGGTTTAAAGAAGTAGCTTGTGTCTTGGCTGTCCTCTCTTATACTCAAACACTCTCTAAGAAAAAGCTGGCTACCTTGTTATGAGCGCCCTTTGAAGAAATACATATGTCAGGGAAGTGGGCAAACCAGCCAGCAAGGAACTGAGCTCCTCAGTCCAATCCCCATGAAGAACTGAATTGTGCCAACAACCATGTAACAGAGTTTGGATGCAGATCTTTCTCCATGTGAGCAGTCCAATGACACTGCAGTCTGCAAAGACCTGAACCGACTAGCAGCAACCTCCTGAAAGAACTTGAGCCAGAGACATTCACCTAAACTATGCCCCAATTTCTAACCCACAGAAACTAGGAGATAATAAGCATTTCTTGTTTTAAGCTCCTAACTTGTTACAAGCAATAGATAATTAATGCAGTGGTCAAAAACCCCTCACTCCCACCCCCACTCCATTCTCAGTCGCCAGCATCCAATGATTTGTTTTCTTTCCTTTTAGTTTTGCCTTTTTAAGTGTATCCTATCAATAACATCATACAGTATTTTTAGCCTCTTGAGTCTGTTGTCTTTTTTCATTTAGCATAATGCATTAAAGATCCCTCCATTTTGCTGTTTTTATGAGTTTTTCCTTTTTATCATTAGTATTCCACTTGAATGACTATATCACAATTTCGTTTTGTTTTTATCTATTCACTAGTTGAAGAGCATTTCAGTTGTTTCCAGTTTTTGACAGATAAAACTTCTATCAAGTAGTTATTATAGAGGTTTTCTGTGGACATGAGTTTTTATTTCACATGGGTAAATACGTAGGCGTGGAATTATTGAGCTGTACGATATGCCTACATTTAGCTTGTTAAGAAACTATCAAATTATTTTCCAAAGTGGCTGTGCCTTTTATTATTAGCATCAGCAGTGTGTGAGAGTCCAAGTTGCTTCACATCTCTGGCAGCACTTGACATCATTAATTTTATTTGTATTTATTTGACAGCCATTATAATAGGTATGCAGTGGTATCACGTTGAAAATTCAATTTACATTGCTGTAATGACAATGGCTCTATGTACCTAATTGCCATCTATGTATCTTCTTTTTGAAGTGTCTATTCAAAATTTGTGCCCATATTTTAAGTGAGTTGTTTTCTTAAGTTTTGAGACATCTTTGTATCTTCTGCATACAAGTCCTTTATCAAACATGTGATTTGCATTTATTTTCTTCCAGACCGTAGCCTTTTTAAAATAGTGTCATATAAAGAACAAAAGTTTTAATTTTCATAAAATCCAATTTATATACTTGACAGTTTTATTTAGCTTTCCAGTGTATATAACAAAAAACAAAGGAAATTTTTGAGAAATTTTTCAGAAAAATGAGAAATATCTAAATATTCAGAATCAAAACTTCACAGGAACTGTGAAAAATAAATTCCTGTTTATTACAAATTCCCCAGCCTCAGGTATTCTGTTATAGCAGAACAAAATGGACTAAGGCATAGCTCTTCTGTTCTATAGTCATTGTACAGTATGCTAAATGTTGCATAAAGTGCTTGTAATATGCTTTTAGTGGTGTCAAACATCACTACCATTTTGCAAAATACAATAGCGAGCTGCATGAGTCTAGAAATTACTTAATCCCAACCTTTAATTTTATAAATAATGAAAATAAAATTGAAAGGAAGAATGGAAAAAAATGAGTTTTATTAAAGGAGAACTTTTTTTTTTCATTTTTCTCTTTCTCAGCAGTAACTTATTTGATATACTCTCTCCTCTTTTGGAT